CCAAGGCCACGCTTTTTAATAACGGGATGGAAACTAAAAATGCTTTTTTTTATCCGATGAATCAATTAATTGAAGAAATAATCGACAGATTAATCGATTATTAAAATAATCGTTAGTTGCAGCTCTAATCAAGTTAAAAAATAAAAGCTCTGTTCATGAGAAATACATTAGTAATGGCATTTAGCCTCTTAACACCTGCCTCATTTTGGCTTGTGCACAAAAGTTGGGCATACCCAAATGTCTTTGCTTACTTAAAAAACACATCTTACATCTCACATGCTTGTATGATGCATCATTTTTAAAGCTAGAGCCTTCTAGTTTATGTAAATATACACTAAAATAATGTATGTCATTCCTATTTCACTCTGCATCCTTTGAAGTTTGGGAAAAAACTATTTTTTTAGCCTTGCCTAAATGTTCAATTTCTAAAAGGCCCTAAAAAAGGCATACACCTGTATAAAGTTTCAGACTTCTAAGTTTTATAGTTTTTATGCAGTTTCTCTTTAACAATCAAGTAGTGCCTTTCGGAACCAATTTGGCACACTTTTGTGGCAAATTGCTTCACTGACATTTCATCATAATAAAAACCATATTTTTTTATTTTTGGTACTCATAAGTTATTAATCTGTGTGATTTTTTAAAACATTTTTTCAAAGTTAATTTTTTAGTAGTGTTAATGCATATAAAATATGCGCTGCTCCAAGAGCGTCTCTCTCCCTACCTTTACGCACGGCTTCTACTGACACAAATCAACACAATACCCCCATGTCCCACCCATTGCTATAAAGCTTTCCCTATTGGCTACTTAGACATGTCAATCATTCGGCAAAAGAACCCTTCCCTAGCCGTCTGGCTAACAACAAGTACAAACTGACCGTGCACAAAAGTTGTTTGCTTGTTTTATTCCCAGGGCTGTGGCAGGCAAACTCGAGTTAGTATCTCCTCAAGGAAGCTCTTATTTCGTAGCTAACGAGTTGGGGAACACGAGCATACCCTGTGTTTGGGAAAAACTAAAGCTGAAAGTCCGCTAACAGTGAAAAAGAGTCTGTGTTCTTTCAGAATGTTTTTTTTCACTAAAGATAAATGCACATTTTTGTTTTATTTCTCCAGAATGGATTATACTTAGAAAAATACAAGTGGATGTTCTTTTTCCATGGACATTTACGGAGTGAAAGAGCTATAGGAAGTTGGGAGGAGATCTGATTTATTTATGGAGCACAAGAGCAAAGGGAAAAGCTTATTCAGAAGTGATTTTTTGTGTGCTCATATTATGCGTTATATCTTTTGAATGCAAAGTCTGATATTGTTTAAACTTGTATATAAATGTAGATAAGAAAATAAGCTTTAACACGAGCTACAGCTTGTGGGGTTTGGTGTTCAAAATACATCTGCTATTGCCAGCAGAAAATTTTAAAAATAAAAAAGTCCCGCGAGCGGGACGAGGGGTGTTAAGAGGTTAAAATCAATTGATGGAATTTTATAAAGTGGAAAACAACAGTCCAATGAAGTAAACAACGAATGTAAATAACTTGTGTTACAACCCAATGTTTGGGTTATAAAACAGCTTCATCAGCTGGATTCAGACTTTAAAATGAAGTATTCCAGTATTTGCTTGATACTTAGATGGAGATGAATTTTGCAGAATGATGATTTCTCATTTTATCACTAACTACTAACTGATGTATGGATTGTAACATAACCGGTGAAGTATGAAGATTCTGTGCTTTAAAATGTAAAATTGTGACAGTAGTATCCACACACTGTGAATGATATAGTTAAACCATGTTTGTTACAGTTAGATTTTAAGATGAACCCAACTATAACTCTTTATGATCACAACTTCTGTGCTTATTACGTCTGTAAATTCACCAAATGCAACACAAATTCTTAATGTTTGCTGCTGTGCTCACGTTAAACCAAGCGGCTGGTCTCATGGTGTTAACTTTGTCATAAATCCCTGTGTGATTTCCCATGTCTCACTCAGCCCCTGGTTCAATATTTACTAATAAGAAGAGACTTAAGCGTTTATTACCTCCACAAACAAGAAGCAGGGTACGATGGAGCTGCTGCTCTTCACACCGGGCTTCTCTTCAGCCGCCATCTCAGATTTTAGTCCCTCTGCCAGACAGCTCTTCTGTGAGAGAACAAAAAGAAAATCATCATGCATCCACGCCGATACTTAAACTGGAGAAAGCTGCGATAGGTGTGAGACAAAGAACTCATGTGTTTCTGTTAATTTTTAACCTTTTTTTATTTTCTAACAGCACAAACATTACATTCACAAACATTTTATGTCGAAGAGTAAAGGGAGGGATTCAAAGCAGTGAAGTTGTTCTCCCTCGAGCTTGTGTCTTACTCCGTCTGCAGAGAATAGACCTGATGATGAATAAGGCATGAAGGCAAGCTCTCAGGAGCCCACAGAACAAAGCGATGTGCCAACCAAGATGGTCAGGTCAATCTCACTTCACTCTCATGTCCCCAGGAAGAGATTATGGCAAGGCAAGGCAATCATCAGGTTTTTTTCCCCCAACTTTATTTATTGAACATTTAAAAATTAATAGACATACAGCATTCAGTTGTGTAAATAAAGTACAGACAATACAGCCAAATGTCAACCCCAGTGCCCACCCTTCACCCGGGACATTCAAAAATAAAATAAAATATATATAAAACAGACACAATCACACACGCGTACACACTAAGGGGATAAATATGAATGCAGGTTGCTAACCAAAAGAAAGGTCATGAGGAAACGGCATAGAGTCAATAAACTATAAAACTAACTGGGTCGTATATCCCAATGCATTGCATGGACATGGTTTGAATTTTCATAATGAATACAAAAATAAAGTGTGGTAATGCAGCTTTAATAAAAAGGATCCCAGGTTACATGAAATGTTTTGACTGAGCCCCTAAGTTAGAACCTTAACTTCTCAAGCTTCAAATTGTACAAGACTTCTCAAACCCAAGGGAAATGTGAAGGGGCAACCCGAGATTCAGATTCAGATTCAGAAAACTTTATTGATCCCAAAGGGCAATTCCTTTGCGGCATAAATCTCAAAGCAGAACACACAGATTATCAGGTTTTGCACCAATCCTGCCGCTTCAAATGTTGTTGGAGGAAGCTTGCACCCACTAGCGCCCTCTGAGCTAGAAGTTGTGTTGGTGGCTCATCTCGAGAGGAAAAACTGTGGAACTAAATGAGGCGGGAAAATCTTCTGATGATTAATATGCGATAAATGGGACACCGGGACTGAGTTTTACATCGGTCCACTGGCATTTCTGTGGCGTCCTACACAATAGGAGCAGCAGAGATCTTAGTCCAGAAGGATTAATACATCCTTTCATTTAAATTTCTAATTTATTTTGTGGAAATCAAAGCGTATGAGAGTAGGAGTGAGCTAAAGTAGGAGCATGAAAAGGCATACAAAATAAAGCACATGATAAATTGATTATGAAGAGCATGGATCAGCTTCAAGTTGTTTGAAGCAGAACCTTTCATTTAAGTCTTCTGTGTATGAAAAACATAATATGCATGGTGCCATAAGTCGCTGTATAAACTACTCCATATAGCTGAAAAGATCTTTTCCCATTTGTGACAATATATCTCCAGAGCAAAACAGTCCACCTGGCTCTGATCTCATTGGAACACAACTAGATCTGAAAAGATGCTAATGCAATGCTGTCTATCCAACAATATGTGAAGTTGGTTTGTAAAAGTCTGCAAAAATGTCCTGGTTTTGACACCTGAGCCGCACAGGACCTTTCTGAGTGGAGTCTATTGGGTACTTGTATATAATAGAACATTTAAGGAATTTGATAGTTATTTTTATGCTTGCCTTTGCATATTTTTACTCTATGCACCTTAAGCCAAATCCCTAGTTTGTGACTTCCTGTTACTTAAAATGCCAATAAAAACTAATTCCAATTCTGATTCTGAAACTTCTTTCTGTGTTTGTGTAAAATCTGTTCCCCAACCACTAAAAACCCGAACAATGCCGACTCTATGGATGAAAACTAGTCTCAAGCTGTTTCGGGTGTAAACGCAGACACAATCTTTATAAGACTTGGGCACCCTGGAAAAGAGGGCGATTGGCAATTATAGCTGTACAAATTGGTTAACAATTTAACAATAACAAAGACATGCAAACACACGGGTTAATTGGAGCTGCAGGAAGACTGATGTTACTGTAAATATGTGAAGTGTGTAAGAAAACAAAGCTCGATCTCAACAGGTTAGTTATTATAGTGTGAAATCGCTGTAACATATGATGCAAACGTCAAGAAGGTTGCCACATGACTGAGCACACAGGTGTTGAATGATGGCAGAAACTATCAAACATTATTATGCTGGTGGGAAACAGCTGTAGAGTCCATATTATTGCAATTACAGCACACACATGTAGTTAGGTAAGAGATACAGTATGTCACCTGCCTCGCTATACAAAAGGTTTGATCAGACAGGAGGGATGGACTTTTACCTTATATGTATCCTAGAATTATTGCTCAAAAACATTGTAAACTTAAGCTAATTCTGCCTATGGTCACCACTCAACAGATTTGAACTGGCTGTGATTAGCTGGATCAGGATCCTGCAAGTAGACTACAAGCAGATATTAGACCCTCCACAGTAGTGTGTGAGGAGTTAATTTGCTTGTAGGACTTTAAATTGCACCAACTGTCCATTTCCTATCTTAAATGTGAAATGCTGACTCATGCCTTTTCATACACTACTATCTTACAACCACGACACGCTGCTCCATCCTCTGAGAGCAACATCTGTGCTCTTCTTTGATCATGATACGTCCCTTGATCATGAATAAGCGTGGACTGGGCAGGTATCAGTGGATGCCCAGGTAGTTAGGGCACAGTTTGGGGGAACCCCACCGGCAGAAGCAGACACTCCCCCGCCTCAGCCCAGCGGCACACTCAGTGACATGTAGATGATGCTAACAGATGCTTCTCCTGTGTCTAACCCACGGTCTTACCTCGGACACGCTTCAGGCTGCGTGGACACTATTCGTCCCCCATGTTGCGAGAAGCTCTGTGGTTTTCAGTGTGTCCTTCCTCCTGTCCTCTCCCTGCCTGGGTCTCGCCTGGGTCCTGTGAGCGTTCAGCCGCAGATGGAGAGAGACGAGGCTGCTGTCGTGGTAGAAAAGAACCAATCCTCCCGCGGTTACAGAGCGTTTCTTTTCCTGTGAGTGAAAATACAACACGAAGAGGTGCGCGTGGTGAAGACGTGCAGCGCGAGCCCACTGCAGCTCCGGAGCACGCGGACACGTGTGTACGTGTGTGCATGAGGGCGTGCGCGCTCACTTGCCCGCGCATGGGACAGTAGAGAGAGAGGAGTAAAACCAAAAATGTGCAGCTTCAAAACAACATTCCCATGAGCACTTTGCGATCATAGATTGATTATTATGTTAAATGTGTAGCACGCTTTAATCTGCTCTGAACATATCACATATCACATATACACATTTTGTATATAAATAATTCGTTTTTTAAATATGCAATTGTAAATACACCTCCATCAGTCAGAGGAATGTTGTCCGATGCTGACATAGGTTTACAGCCATCCATCCCTTAAATGAGGGACCGGTGGCCTCTCCTCTCATGTTAGTTAATGATTAACATTATGTCAATAATATGCACTGTGACGTAATTCAGTGTTTCCCAACCCGGGGTCCGCGGACCCCCGTGTATTGCAAGGGCTCCGCTCATTGACAGTAAATAACTAATCTTCAATTATTAGTAACTTGTTATTGGAAATGTGGTAATATGTGGTATAATAACAGTGTATAAAGCTCCCTTTCTTCTAAATTGAATGTATTTCCCTGTACATGGCTGTAGAGTGAGAGGAAAAATGCCCACTACAAATGTGAAGTTTTATGTGAGTATATAATCAAAATGACCGACTTACTTAACATGCAACAGTTTAACAGTAACAGTACAGGTTAAAAAGTTGTGACCCCCATTCAAAATGAGACTACACCCCTGGGGTACTTGGATTGTAACCACTGGGGTAGTACACACTTATTGTTTTTACTTTCCTCTTTGCTGAGTGTGCAGCTTTGGCGTGTTGGTCTGGCTGTGGCATAGGTCTCAGGGGAACCCCCATGGCTGATGAGATATGGCTAGAGCTGGAAATGAGAAATGTGACTGTTATAGGCTGTTATGGTTTACAGCACACTGGAGGGCAATCCCAAGGGTGTCCCCTCCTTGGGCTACCTTGGCCTGTCAGGGTCCCACCCCCTACCCATAAGAATTTTATAGAACCACACCCAAAATATGCATTGGAAAATTACTACACTAAAACGCTTGCTGGTTCATATAAGAAGAGACTTTCTTGCATTAGGCATACAAGTTTACGTATATGCAGTATGTGTATTCATGTATGCATGGATGAGAAAGGCTGACACGGCAAAAACCTGGTGAAAATCTTTACCTTTGCTGATTGTGATTGTGCATGGCTCATTTCAATAATTTACTAGACCAGAACCCACTCAAACATCAGATGGAAGGAGACATGGCAAGATCTAATGCATTTCCAAATCGGACATAAAATACTGTCCCCTGTTTACTACAATCTGAATGAAGCGATGGTCAGTGGATTCAATTTTGGATATTTCCAGAACTTTAAGGGTTGGAGGCATTTTCTTGATGCATTATTTTGATCGATATTTTGCAGTAACACCGGTGTTTTTACACTGCAGACACTGGTTTTTTGATCTGTGTTGAGATGCTGTGTCGACCTGGGAACGATAGGCGTGTTGTCTGAATCCATGTCAGATTTTCACCAAATGGAAAACAGAAAAGTGTTTAAACAAAAGGGTCAAACACACTTCCACAACCTGTATTATTCTGTAGCAAAGTATATACTGTGTAACCCCTTCAGTTGAAGTCATTGAATTGCAGGCCACAGAAAGGCACAGATAAAGCACACGCACGTATACATGCACGAACACACAGACACATGCACGCACGCAAGCCCACACACACACACACACACCCATAGCACCGAGGTACAGACCTATTATGCCGGAGGCTCCAGCTGTGGTCTGCAGGGTCCTTCATTAATCAACCTCCACACCAAAGAAACATTCCTGCACTGCTCCTTTGTCTGTCCCAGGCCCTGCATATGTGTTATTCAGATATTTGAAATATACTGTAGATATATTAAAACACACACAAGAGATTTTGCAAATGTGTCTGTGATTTTTTGAAGACATTTTATTAGAATATTAATTCTGTTTAAAAAAACCCTTTGGACAAACCCAAGCAATTAGTATGTTTTCTGTATTTTACTTTAAAACATATTTTGTAAAAATAAAAATAAAAATAAAAAAAAGAACAATTGTGCTTCAGTCACTTCACTTAAATGTCTTTGATGGTGCCAGTATAAATATGCGTACAGTGTTGTGGTCTAAAGTAGCACATGCACAAGGTCGAGTAAACACAGAGGTGGGGGAGCGCGGGCCACAGCAGGTGCGCCCCTCTTCCACACTAATAGAGAATAAATTCCGTCTCGTGGTTTGATTTGCAGAGCTGCTGTTAGCTGTTAGCACCCCCTCCCACTACACAGGATCCAGCGCTGGAGCCGGCGATTGCCCGAGGTGCGCTGACAAATGAGGCGTGTTATTGTGAACACAGCAGATGGGACCTCAGTGGAGGAACGTGGAGGTGCGAGGTAGGTCCTGTGACGGTATGTGATGGGGGCCAGTCCCAGACTCAGTCCTTTCATCACGGAGCACTGTAATGTTGGTGACAGGTACCAAACCTGCATCCAAATTCACAACGTTGTTTACTCATGAGACCATGAATCAACATGAATAGGTTATTTTTCATACTGCCTCCCTTCTCTCAGAGCAAAAATATTTAGCTCACTTCCGATCATTTAGTAATATGTAATAATAACATTTTATTGTTAAATGGCATTATTCATTCTCTCCCGTGGTGGTGGTTAGCCATAGCTGCCCTGGGATAGACTAGCAGGAGCCAGGCTATTCATCTGTGCCATCAGACCCTCCAACTACCATCATTCATGCAAGTGTTTTGCCTGAGGACACAACACCATGCAGTTTGGCACTTTACAGCCACAGCCACCCCTGTATATAATATATGAGTCTGTCTCTTTTTATGGTTACGGATCCACCACATCAGCTGACCCAGTTCTGATAAAGCACTTGTCACACAAAATGAAGAGTGAGGTCTGTGATCTCTGGTGAGGAGACACTGATACATAGAAACAGCTGCGAGAGATTTTGAATGATGCCAATTTACAACTTTCTAAGGCAAATGTATCAATGCACAATTATATTTAAGGATAATTTGATCTTTTAACGTCTGACAAAAGTGTACATTGAATTAGAGATAGAGCAGTTTTTGTAAGACTCAATATTTTTAAAATAGCCCCCAATGCATTCAAAATAAGCTGTAAAAGTTGATCATGAAGCATGTGCAGTGTAACATGCTAACCCCCTCTCTTTATCCAAGCATTTACTGCTCAATTACTATCACATACTGACCTTGAATCAACGGTAATCCTTTTTCACGCCATTTTCAGCCATTAGCCAGAGCGTTACAGTGAAGCTGTGACTATTCCCCCTCAGGACCCACTGAGCAGCCACATTCAAGCAAACAGGAACATAGACATCTTACTAATGGCATTCTTGAATTTGAGTTAACACAAAGTTTAAACTATTGCATTTCATGACACTCAACCAGTTCCATTGGCCCCTCCGAACACCACCATCATTCATGCACACATCAGACTCATAGTAGGCAAATGTGGGTGAAGTGCGCACACTTCATGTCCTTTCTACTCTATTAAATATTTCTTTACAATGTTAAAAAAAAAACAATGACAAAAGCAGAGATTGAGGAGCCTATGAGACAATCCAAATAGTTTCTATTTGGAGGTGAATGGATAAATATAAGTATTTTGCTTCATCCAATCCCTTTTCAAACCAAATCAAGGCACATTTAGACCAGGGAAAAATGTGCAATTAATTGAGATTAATCACGACTAACTGTGACATTAATGCGATTAATCTTGATTACATATTTTAATTGTTTGACAGCACTAGTCTTTTATTTCTCAACAACAACAAGTGTTTTTTTTCAAAGTCTGCCTTATTTCATAATCTTGCGCAGACATTCCGGGCACTTCTGAGTGAGTGGGAGTTGTGTGTGTGATCTCCTTATCAGCTCCAGCGCACACGGCTGCTTTGCTCTGAGCGACTGCACTGCTGCCCACTCAGTGCGCTCATGTCGTCCACCAATACTCTGCTATTTCTGAGACGGGAGATCTTTACATGTTCAAAGCAGGTACTTAAAGCCTGCCTTAAATAAGAGATGTAGTTTCCAAAATTTTTACACTGTTCATTTAATTAGACCATTCATTACTTGCACTTTACCCATAATGCTTTGCACCTTGGGGGGGTGGCGAGCATACACATAGCATATACAAGCCCCAGTGATCCAAGATGGCGTCCTATTTAAATCAATGGCTAGTGCTCAGTAGCGCAAGATTAGCGGAACCCACCCATATTTGGGCATTGTCTGGTCCCTCCGGTTCTGCGCTGTGGACAAGCTCCCATGATGCTTTGTGCCAAATACGCGTGTGTGGCTCTCATGTACAGTACATGCACAGAGGGGCTTGGCCACGCTCTGACCAATCAGAGCTGCTGATCAGAGCGGAGCTTGAGCGGGAAGAAATCAGCAGAGTCTGTGGCACTAAAGTGTAGATTTAAAGAAAACTAAGAAAAGAAGAAAAGTTCAGGATGACAAGGGGACACAAAAATCCCCACAAAATCCGACCTTTATGAAAGCTATAGGTTCTCTGTCAGCTGAGGTTGAGCAGTTTTAGTTTACATTGAGTTCTATGGTACAATTTTCTGCATGGGTAGCCCATGGGTGAATTTAGTCTGCAGTACCACAAACAAATAAATTGATCATTCAAAAGCCAACAATAGTTAGCGATAATATGAAAAAGAGGATTTGTTATTATTACATTTCCTGTGTTCAAACTCTTTGATTCTCTGATTAGTTGTTGGCGAATTGACAACTTTGTCCTGCAACATTGTGATTTAGGGCTTCATGAAAAAAAATTAATTGAATAGAAATCAATCTAGGCAACAGACAAGATAAGATCCATGTAAAAGATAGAGTGGCCCTGTGGACAAAACATGAATACATCCAGAGACTTTTTTCTTCATCTTTCCAGCGGTGCTCCTGTGAGAGCTAATGGTCATGCATGTGGTGGTCCAGAGAGAGCTGATGTACTGCCCTGCTGTTCGACTCAGCATGCTCTGTCATGAACACGGAGCAGACCAGCAGAACCACGGGGCCCGCTCGGCCATCTAGAGGCCAACGCTGTGTCTTTGAACTAGAGCCGAGACAATGACGAGCTAAATCACACCGACGTGGGCCTTTGAAGGAGCACATACTGTACGTACTGTACACACCTCTACAATCTGTGCTCAGACTCAATAGCTCCAGATAAAACTAAGTCTTCAGACCCAGATGGGAGAAGAGAGACTTTGTGTACGCAAACTCACGAATATGGCAACAGTGCTTTTCTTTTCCGGTTTACGATCTGTCAAACTGATTAAAGCCAAAGAGAGAACTACAGAAACATCAGGCAGGTTTTCCTCTGTAAACATAAACACTGTTCTCAAAAGGAAGCTTGTCTCAAGTTGTTCTGAAACAGTTGCTGTTTTCTGCTTTACAATAGTTAGTTTATTAGTTTTTTCCTTTTTACTCCAGTACAGTGTTAAGAGTGTTCAGGGTTTTGCACTGATCAAGAGCAGAGAAGATCACAATCAACGGCTTTGTGCCATGTACACAAAGCAGGGGACTTTTGCACATTCCATTGTGGTTTTACTGCAAATGGCAAATAAACTTAATCTTGAATCTAAATCCGGACAAAGGCTATGTTTTGAAGAATGCACTGGCACGTTTATCCATCATTTAGGTTTTCACACTGAACCAGAGCAGACTGTATCCATCCACCAGAGAGAAAGCCTTTAAGGAAGCAGCTCATCGCCAAGTTCACCGCAGGAGAGCCCCGGCCAACAGCGGAGTAACAGGCCTCAGCGCAGCAGGCACCGTGGTTCTGAAGGAGATCCGCCACTGGTTTTCTAACACCTGGTCAAGGAATCCAAGACTCATGACAGATCCTTCCAGAGCTCCACTTCAACATGGTCGGTCTTTTTGAGGACACCTGTGCCCCATGATGCAGAGAGGAGCCCAAGAACATCCAGCTGTTTCACACATCAGGGGAGAGGACCTCATCACAAGCCGCTGTCAGCTGATTTAACTGGGTTTTATCCTGGGTTTAAATGTTTAATTTTACCCTTGTGTGTAAAGATCTGTCTGTTTAGTCGGTATCAGCTAATGATGGTCACCCAAATTTCCTCTTTAGGCATAGAAATATCTATCTATCTGTCTATCTATCTTGTATGTTGTAATTTATGTATTTGCCTGTCGAGGGACTACAAATGAAAACTATATGTGGTTTGTCCCTATCCAATAAACAAATAAATCTCTTCCCTATTCCTTTCCCAGCATTTGTGCTCTCAGTGTGTGCTCCACTGTCACGTCTTGAACACAGAATGGTATGTGTAAAGAGAAGTGACATGGTAAGAGGCCATTTTGAATCCCCCGAGAGAAAAGCAGACGACACCTTTACTATGGCTGCCATCAATGTTCAGTTTCTCCATAAGCTGCTGTCGCGTTGTGTGTTTGTGCAGAGAGGAGGCCACAGTTTGAAAACCCAAGTGATTGCTTTGGATTGCAGCATTCCTGTTTTCTGCTGGCCACGATCATATCAATCACAAGATACAATCAATCAATCCTTTATTATCTCACAGATGGAGAAATTCAATATGACACAAGTAACAACATACATCTATATCAGGGGCGTGAAACTAAAATAAAAGAGCTGGCTGCAGGCTAAAAGTATAAAAAACATGTTTTGTGTCGGTGAATTTGTTGATTTATATATATTTTTTATTATTGATTTAATTTTACTTTCTCACATGAATAAGGGTAAACTTTATTAACATTCACAA